ACCGGGAGAAAGCTTATTTCCCTTATTCCATTTGCTATCATTTCAATTATTTAGAAAGAGAGTGACAAGAGGGTTTTTCAGTGCACTATTTATCCTTTATGCTAGCATTGGAGATCACTGGTTCTATACTATGTTTTTTTTTTAATGATCACACCTTCTTAACAATGAAGAGAATTCAGGGAAATTCATAATATTTTGGTTCTTTCATATTCTATATTTTGGTTCAGTGCATTATTTATCCCATTGGTGCCTTGTTAATATTACTTCTCTTTTTTTCCTCAAGAAAAAGAATATATGACTTGTTTAATCATAGAATTATTTGTATTATTCTGGTTTGAAAGAAAAGTAGATCAAATTAAAATAGGGAGTCTGAAAATTTTCTTGGGTAAGAAATCCATTTAGACTAGTTTGACACGAAGTATAGCTGATGAAGATTGCAATATATAGAAGCAAGACATTACTGGTTTTAAACAAGCATTGTGGCTTCTACTTTTAGTGTGGCATGTTATTATGAGAGGTATTCCTTGGACATGGTAGATGATCACTGGTTTTTCGTCACTGTAAGTGGTACGTACTTGTACTGAAATCAATGTAGTAAAAGGGATCAAATTTTTATCTTTCTTTAGTTGTATTATCTGGCGATTATGAAAGTTGGCAATTGATCTTTAAAGGTAATGCAGGGTCTGAAGCCAGAGAACAGTGAAGGAAGATTTTTGCTTGTGTTTCAACCATAAAATCTACGAACTTGTAGACAAACACCTCCCTATGAAGCCATGTGCTTTCTTACTCTTTCTATTTGTTCAATAATGAATTGATTTGTTGGCATTGAGAATATTTTTGTCACTTCAGAAACAATTTTTAAACAAGTTTGGTTTATAATACCTCTGAAACTTGCTGAATTTTGCTTGATATTAGAATTTCTTGGTCAGTGTTTTCTTGCTCCATCTTGAAAACAGTGAACATATTTCTCCATTGATGCCTGGAGTTTGTGCTGGTTAAGTCATTGGTGCAATTCCAAATGTGGAAGCTATAACTTTTGTATTGACAATAACACATGCTGACAAGATGATAAGAAACTCTAAGTGGACAGACACTTATCCATGAATTTATCCTTGTTATCATCTATCATTCATGCTGATGCTGCTTGCTAACCCAGAGATTGCTGAATAACTGTATTTGTTGAAGTCAATTGAGTATATGGGAGCCATCTAACTTATATAAATGGAATTCTAGAACGAGTTAATATTTTCTGCCTAGTTTTTTTTCGTTATTCCTAGAATAACTTTCTTTAATTTTATGTGAAACTGAACTGGGCATGTTCCCTTCCCCATACTGATGTTTTAGGAATTTTATTATCATCCATCATGGTGATGCCGCTTACTTAACTACAGAGTTTTGAATAACAATATTTGTTAAAGTCAACTGAGTATCTGAGAGGCATCCAAACTTATAAAAATGGAATTTAGAATGAGTTAAATATTTTCTGTGTAGTTTTTTTTTGTTATTCCTAGAACAATTTTCTTTAATTTTAAGTGAGACTGAACTGGGCATGGTCCCTTTCCCCATACAGATGTTTAGGAATTTTATTGTCATCCCATCATCTGATCGTCATTGACGTTTATTTATGCTCTACCATTGTATTGCTTTAATTCCATTGTTTTTTTTAAATTAATCAGGAATTTTTATGTGAGAAAGGCATTGGCTTTGTTCGCATTGATGGAAAAACGCTTGCCAAAGATAGACAGTTGGCCGTGCAGTTGTTTCGATCATCAAATGAGGTATACTCAAGATTTTCACTAATTGAGCTAAGATGCTTTTTCCTCATTATCTGTTATTGTCCCAAATGTTAGCTTTTTACTGAATATAAAGCCTTGAAGTTAAAAATTTATCCTACAATATGTATTTATGTACACTTCAAAAGACTTATTTTCTAGCATCAAGAACTTGATGCTAAGAAGGGCATGGCTCAAGTAAAGGCCCTTTGCAAAAAATGTTTGAAGAAAGAAATGCCTGTAGGTTTTTTCGCTCTCTGGTGGAAAGGAGAAGGAATATTTTATTTTTTTGTTGGAATGATTATAATGAAGCTATTTTATCTTTTATTAGTAAATCTAAAGAATTTGACCAGCTATCTTGTCCAAAATGAAGTTCAAATACAATTTTTATTGTGTCAATATCTGAATCATACTTTTTAGGTCTTTGTGTTCTCATGAGGTGGCTCTGCTATATACATAGTATCAGAATCTATCTTCATGTATTATAACTTAAGATAATTTTCCTTAAGTTCACATTACTTTTTTATTTTTCAGATAAAGATAGCAATTATTGGTATAACTGCTGGCGGTGTTGGACTTGATTTTTCATCAGCACAAAATGTAGTGTTCTTGGAGTTGCCTCAAACTCCTTCAATTATGCTTCAGGTCTAATCAAGTTTTTTCGTCTAATTGTTCTAAATTTTTACTGTGTTCATCCTGTTACATTAATATTTTAGGATATGAAAAATTACTAAATGGGTCCCTAAAGTTTGGGCGTTTGTTACAATTTGATCCCTAATATTGTCATATTTACAATTTGGTCTCATATTTTTTTTATTTGTTCCAAATGTCTAGTTTTCTTCCATTTCCTAATGGAAAAATCTAAAATGGTTAGGTCAAGTTAGGATGTTAAAAAAAATACAAAAAAAATAATTTTGACTTATTAATTAAATAAATAAAAAACCTAGTGTTATTATTAACTTTTAATATATTAATTTCATTAATTAGTCAAATTCGTTCTTTTGAGCAGTTTTTTAAATTATGTGAATATGAGCTAATTATTTTAGCTTTTTCCGTTAGAAAATAAAAGAAAGTTAAGCGTTTGAGACTATTTGAGAACATCAGGGACCAAATTAATGAAAAAAATATTAGGGATCGAATTGTAATAAGTGCCAAACTTCAAGACTAATTTGGTAATTTGTCATTTAGGATAAGGTAAATGAAACTTTATGACTTTTGCATCATATTCTCTTTCATATTCCATATAATTGAAATTTGAAACAACTCAATCTAATAGTTTATCAACATTATATTGAAGTCTTGATTAGCCATTTTCTAGTCTTTAGCAATGTCCAACATCTTCATATCAATGTCTGATACAAATTGCTATCATCCCTAAATAGGATCTGCTTATGGTTGTGCTGGTTGCAAATTCCACTAAACTGTTAAAGAGTTTACTGGACTTTCCTCTCTCATTTTCTGTGCTTAATTGAATGATAAGAGCTCATGAAGAGAGAAGCCTTCAATGTCTTGAGTTTAGAAAGAAAGTACTTTCTAAATTCTGCTCAATGTTTTACTGATAGGAACTGCAAATTTATACACAAGCTTGGAGACAAGATAAGATCTTAAAACAACCTCCAAAGGAATAGGTAACTCCAAACTGTCTGGAATAACCACTTCCCTCTTCTAAGAAAAAAGAAAAAGATAAACAAAGAGTTTACTCTTAAACTGTCAAGGAACTGCAGAAAAGTTAACCGTCTCATGTATAAAATTACTTATTTTACTCATAATCTATAGTCATGTAAGTAGATCAAGTTGCAAAGGACACCGAAGAGACTACCCACTGAACAGTAGGTAACCATCCATCAAAAGAAAGTAAAACATAAACTCAGGAAATTGATATTCTGAAATTACTGAACAATAAATCAGATCAGAAAAAAACTAAGAGCTCAGGTGGTCCTCAGTGCTCCCCTTGCAGCCATGTGTAAAATGTTGGTACACCTTGCCACTGGATGTGCCCGCTTCAATCTGTTTCCCTTTGCTGACCTGTAGAGACTGATTTGAACAAGCCACACAGCGACTAATTGGCCAGAGTTGTCATCAATGATTGATGATCTTTTTTTTGGAACAAAATGGGTTTAGACGTCAAGCAATAACGCATTAGCTAGAGTGAGAAGCTAGCGCATCTAGTCTAATGTCTGCAAGGGGAACCATTCATATCTATAGTACTGTACTTCGCAATTAAGACGAACATCTAAGTGACAATGGCTATTGTGCGACTTTCCTTCTTACATTCGGAATACTCCTTGACATGATATAGCAGTGGCTTCATGAATTTTATGTAGAAAAGTACTGGAATCAGTATTAGTGTTTCTTCTAATTAAAAAAAAGGATTGATTTTGTTCCTCTTTTCCTGTCTTCCCAGATGACTCTGGTCTTTAGTCATTGTCTGTGTATCTTTTTGGACTACACGCAGATTGCTGTGAGATGTTGGCAAATTGTTCATAGGAAAATGCAGCTGTTTTGAGCTCCTTGTTTTTATGAGTTACATCCATTTTTCTAGGAAATTTCCCTGGAAATACTTACTTTTTTCTTCTCTTCGAGTACTTGCACTAAATTTCTGCTCTATTGTCTTTTCAGTGAATTATCCTTGGTCTGTCCTTGCTGGGCTTTACTGATTTTTTCTTCATGTGCTTAATTTAATTCTATATTGAAGGCTGAGGATAGAGCTCACAGGCGAGGACAAACAAAAGCCGTCAACATTTATATCTTCTGTGCAAAGGTGCTCTCTTTTTTCTTTAGTTTGATTTATTCCTAGGTGCAATCACATCCTTCTCCTCCACATGTAAATGACAGTTTTCAGATTGCAGGATACAACAGATGAGTCGCATTGGAAAAACTTGAACAGGAGACTGCACCATGTTTCATCCACAACGAATGGAAAATATGATGCTGTACATGAAATAGCAGTATGTATCTGGTGTTCTTTGTCTTTTTTTTTTTTTTTTGAAAAAAATTGTTATTGAGATTCTCTTTTCAGATTGCACCTTTAGTAAAGCCAGGCTCCTGAATCAGTTTGAAAATGTTTCTGGAAATGCAAAATCCCTTATTAGTCTAATCTCCACATAGTTGAGGAGAAAAGTTCTTGACTAGTAGTGGCTTTGTTTGTAAGAATGTCTAGTCAGTGAACTAGAGAACTATTCTGAAGATGAGTTTGTTTCTCATGGGAGTTAATTGGATGATTAGCAATCTAACTATTAATCAGTCACAAACTTGACTGGTTATGGGGCTTCCCAGATGACCAAAAATTTCGTACTCTAGTTCCTTTTCCATGTTTTTAGATAGTGTGATTAAAAAGAAATAGAGAGCTTTTGAAAGGCTGGAAACTCAATTTGGATACTTACAGAAAGATGGCTTCATACTTTGAACTTTTTAGTTGACCGTGTAGATCCTGAGTCTTAGAGATATTTTCAATTGTAAACGAATAAATAATAAGCTTTTCTCTTACTTAGGTGGGACTTAATTGGGGCCCTCTTATTGATTTTTTTTTTTGAAAATTTTCTTTTCTTATTAAAGAATTTTGGGGAAAATTCGCAGCTTTTCCTTAATTCATTTTTCTCCCTATTAATTTACTGAATCACCCTTGCAATTACAAGCGTATAGTTAGTAAGTGAATGTCGTTCTTGATGTTGGAAAGGTTATTAGTAACCGAAGGGTGTAGGAACCTTTGTGGGATAAAATTCCTTTGGTCTAATTGGAATGTCCATTTCTAAGGGCATTTAAGTTGTTTTTTGTGTGATTACATTCAAGGCCATATTGACACTTGCCACAAAGCCTTCAAAGTTGTACTGTAGGAGAAGGGTAAAAAGGGAAATAAATGTACAGGGTAAAATGGGAAAAACACGCATAAGGGTGAAAATGTCATTTCAACCTTAGAAGAATCTGGAAGGTGTCTGTAGGGTTTCGGTGGGTCTGTTTGCTGGCTGTTGCAACCAACACCAGGTGTTGTAACCAAAATCTGTTGCATTGGTTGCAACCAATGCAACTATCTTATCTGTAATGGGCCGACACGTCTAACAAACCAGCACGTCCGACCCCTGATTTCGCATGTAAATAGTCTGGATTCAATGAAGAAATCATTGAAGAATTGAAACCTAAATCTCTTCTCTCTTTTGGGCTCTCTATTTCTCTGTCTATCTCCTAGTCTCTTTCTCTCTATCTCTCTCTGTTCTCTCTCCTCTCTCTCTCTCTCTCTCTCTCTCTCTCGTTCTCTAAACCAAATTTACTTACCCGGACAAGTTGGAATCACGAGTAAGGGTTCTGACAACACTATCGAGGAAGAAAACGCTATGAACTCAATTTGGTGAAATTCCTTTATTTCTGGTTGAAATATCATTTCTAAGGGAATTTACAAGACTATGAGCTTGGTTTGCTGGAGCACATTCTTTCTCCCTGTGAAGTTAGAAGAACCAGGAGAAACTCAAGTAGGTGTACGTATAGGTTGAAAAAAATCAGGCCTTTGATCTCTATGGTTTTTTTCTCCTTTTCCAATAACAGTTATTCTTTCTGGAATGTGGCTGACAATTTTGGCTTGTTTTAAGAGCTTATATGAATGCTAATGATTTCATGACTAACAGATTTTGTTAATACAAAAAATAAATGAACATTTTTTCGTTTGTACTATTCGTTTGGTTGATACTTGGTTATTGTTTCTCCTTTTGTTCTTAAGTAAGATTAAATCACGTAATGTAATATCAGATCTCATATGTGGGGTTTTCAGGTTGAAGGTGTCTCGTATCTAGAACCAACCAAGGAAAGTTGTCATAATCAAGTCTTACAAAAAACAGAATCTGGTCTGCATTCTGCAGAATTGGAGTTGCATTCCTCTCGTCTACCGCAGGATTTGCAACTTTCTGAAGCAGTTCATGAGGAAGCTCCTGAAATGAATGACAGATATGAAGAAAGGAGTGTATCTGATGACAGTTCAGCCCAGGCTGATGTTCTTCATTTCAAGGTAAAACTTTGACCCCAAAATTTTTGAAAATAATCTTTTTATGTAATGGTGTCAAATGTTCCATATAACTCCTTTAATTTTGTTGTGAGTTTTGTTTTTTTTTTTTAGTTTGGCAAGGAAGTTGAAATTTTTAGTTGAACAGGCAGAGCTAGTTCCAGAGCTGGAAGTGGCCAAACTTCATCCTTCAATTGAAATTGTGGCAAATCTTATGATGTGGGTTAGACCTCAGGCACAGATGCTCATAATAAGCCAAATGACAATGCGAAGAGAATTATCAAATTGGAAAAGTACAAGTATGTTTTCTTTTTGTAACGGAGATTATGAACCCATTTTTCTTCTTTGAGATGTAGGAATTTCATAATCATTTTGAAAGTACAGGAGCATGTCATTGATCCTCAAACAATCAAAATTGATGGTAACTCAGTTCAACATATTGAAGCTGATTGTTGCTCTAATAAAGTAGATTGGCTGCGGTTTGAGGTAAGATCCATGCTGGTTGTAAAAGTATCCTTATGCGCAGGCTAAAATAATAATTTAGTCCCCGCAATTTATTTTTGTTGAAATAAGCCCTTGCCTCTATTTTTTGTCCAAATTAGTTTCTATGCTTCTGAAAAGTGTTCGATTTAATCATTATCTGTTATTAACTGTTTACACTGTTAAGTTACGCTATTGTCAAATTTTATGTAACACCTTTTGATTGAGTAGTTTGTAAGTATAATGTCACATCGGATGCCCCATGTCATCTGCCATAACATTCAAAAAATGTGGACCAGTTCAGACCGGTCCACAAGTTAAGCAAAAACTCATTATATAAAAAAAATACCTCTTTTCTACCTCACACCCCACACTTCTCATTTTCTTTGCTCCAAAGCAAACCAGCGTCCCCGAAGAAGGGAAGCTGCTGGTCACTCTGGCTCATCACTGGTGGTCATCACAATCTTCTCTTTTGAACTGTTTGTTGGCCAGTCATCTGAATAGTATTTAACAGCCACACGTTTCCTTCAGAATCCAGAAGGAGATTCTTTTCTGAAGGGCACAATTCCCTTGACGGAAGCTTTTCTGGGATAGTGATCTCCTTCGAAGAAGAAAAGATTCACAAGAGACTTGGGTTGGGTTTTCATCTCACCTCTCTTCTTTGTAATTTTTACTTTATTATAATTAGAAAATTACTTCTCCCTGTAATTTTTTCCCATCTTTTACTCTAAAGTCCGAAAATTATTTCATATGTTTTCATCTTTAATAGCCATGAATAGAGTTGTTATTACAGAAGAGAGACTGTATGATCGGATTCCTTGTGTTCTGTTCTGATTGGAAAGGGTTTGAGTTATGCCTGAGCTTCGCCATGGAGTCTGCTGAGGCTGTGCCACTGCAGCTGCAAAACAGCAGCAGTGGCAGTAGCAGTAGGAGGACTAGAAGAAGAATCTGAGACAATAGAATCCAATCCACCTTGCTTGATGCTGTCTCCTGTCACCTTGGTCTAATGCCTTTCCTTTCTAGCAATGTTCTCAATGGTTGGAAAACCAAGTTCTTATTTGAGAGCCCTTGCAAGCTGTTGAATCAAGTTGAAAAAATGTGTATCATGTTTGTTGTTGAACTGTAAACTGATCAACCTTGCCAAAACCAATGTTCTACTGAAATCCAGATGTCTTGGGGTTTGTGGAGCTAGTCTTAGTTTGTCTTAATTCCATATGATTGTCCAGGGATTCAGATTTGGGATTATGTATTCCAATGTAGAATGTTCCTAGTAAGGAGCTGTAGCTTTCTTAGCAATGAAAATATAGTGACTCATGCAAGATGTTAAGAATAACAATGTCTTCTAGTAAGTTACGTTGAATGCAAAAGAACATGAAGATTGTTTTCACACCCTCCACCTTGACCTTTCCATGAAAGACGTGTAAAACAGAGATCATTCATAGGTCTGTTATAGCCAAACCCTCAGACATGTAAAACAGAGATCATTTATAGCTCTTTGTAGGAATTCCATAAGGAGATTCATGTAATACTGGTTGAAGCAGTTGTACGTTATTTAGAAACTCAGATTTGGTCTTTCTACAATTAGGTACTTGTTGAATGCGAAAAAACTGAAGGTCAGTTAATGCCTCCAT